AAGAAAGAAAGAAGAAGCCTAAATATCATCTCACTGTAGTTGATTTTGTTGCTAACTGCCACCATATTACCCATATATTAGTCAGACCATTTTCCTTTAAAACCGCTCCTCGAGAGCTCATTCATGGCTGTCTGATTGCATTAGTCGGTGAAGCACTTACTGCTGGACTTAAGGGCGGAGCACGTTGGGAGACCAGCTAGGAGCACACCTACCAGTACGACAACCATTTTGGTTGATACATTGTTTGCTCCTCAGGGCACCATATTTGCATCTAGAGCTACAGTAACTAAAGTTCTCCGACCTATCATAGCTTCACACACGCATAATAATCAACTCTACCATTGGTACTGCATACAGTACTTGGTTTACTGGCATTGTTTACCGTCTGAGTTTCTTCGATTTGTGCATGGAGAATAGCGGATACATTTAAGGAATGAATACTTCAGATAAAACTATCCTAAATCGACAATAATGGTATTACAGCCCAGACAATAGCATAGACCCTTTGCACATTATCGGATCAGATTTGTTCTTCACAGAGGTCAAGCTCATTTAGCTAATGGTGTCTTTGTAATCAAACGTGCATGGTAAAGTGCAACGACAGGCTGAAGTGTCTAGCAATTTTCCACTTGTTTCACCTACTTATGTAATAGCAAACACCAATTGCATTCTTGTCGTGGACCAACGATCATTCACACACTGGGTTCAATTTATGAACACAATAGTGCTACCATAGTTACTTTGGAGGGGAGTGAGGATAATGAAGTAACAAAGGCAAAACATTGTATGCAGAAAGTCGTCAATTATGCCAAGTAAAGGATCCCCTGAACATTCACTCGACACTATACTCACTATGAATCATGTATGAGCAGTGGCAATGCCAGCTCTTAAAATGCGTGAACTTGTAGGCCAAAGGAAGCACTTCTGGCCAGAAAAAACGAAAAACATTTTGTAATTACGCTCAGAAACACTATTTCCACGTTAACGAATTCTTGTGGTAGAAGGTTGAAATTGGTGGAAAGATAATTCACCTTACCGATATTTTTGATTATAACTGCTTCAGAGACTTTTCTGGCCATATCATGTAACGCTGCGACAGGGCTGTTGATGCTTTGAAACGGAGTCCTTAAATTATGGCGTCAAACCTTCAGGATCCATGCGCAGGTAGTAAAGGACCCTTTGCGGACCCTGTATTAGGCAAGGTGCTAGATTCCAATTCCCGATCCACGAATATATCACTTATGCATCACAACACTTCTGTGACTACCATTAGTAGGTGATAGGTTCACGTCCTTGTGGCAAACGTTTTATTGGTTTTAGCGACTAAGAGGAATACATTGAACTTGCGCCTGATATCCTTCTCACCGTCACCGCTAGAGCAGCATAGTTGATAACATTTAACTGGTTATTATTTTACTGATATGCTGGCGCGCTGAAAATCACGTCTTCTAGTCGAACGATCTGCTAGGACAGACGCACCGGATATCATACGAGGATCGTGACTATAGCTTCTGTAAACAATGAAAACAGTGGATGTAGTACTTACTATGAGGAGAAAAAGGGAAACATGACGATCAAGGGAGAGATTTTAGGTTAAATCATATTTCAGTTTTCGAATTATGAGTCCTAACTTTTCTCGAATTATTGAATATTCATTTAATAAATATACTAAAATGGTATTAAATTCCTGGCCTGTTTATTGTAACAAGGACAATTTTCCAATCCATCGCAGACTCATTATTAGCTTTAAAATATAATCCTATACCGTCGGAGGTGGGAAGGCACACACGAAAACCCATCCACCCACATAGTGTCGAGGTCTCACTCGGAAATATGCGCTACTGCATGCGTGCTTACGTGCGCACCCGCTCGCATCGGCCCACCTTTTGGGTGCGCTTGCACTTGCCGCTGGACGGAGGCCTGAGATGATTACGTGCCCGCAGAACGCACCGCCGCATACGCCCCCGTGAGTCAGCGCGCAAGGGCTGCACGGCAAGGCAGAGTATACGTCTTCAGACGAGCTGAAACGGTGTGGTGAAGTAAACCGTAGATTTGGATGAAAATATGGCGTTCAAGAAAACAAAGCGATATCTGAGTGCGAAGATGATATGCATGACAGTTGGGAGATTTCGCATCCGAAGGAACCATTTAAATTTGCCCACCAAAGTTTCAACCTGTTAAATTTCACATCGATACGTCTAGCAGTCGAATAACTACCATAAGGGTTACGACCACCGAAAGTCAAATTTGCAAGCAGCAATGGCCTGGGATAATCACTTGCCTGCTGTAATGTTAAAACAGCCTACACGATTACCGGGCTGTACCAGAGTTTTGGATTAGCAAGACTCAGCACTTTAAACGTTTCAAAATGCCCTAAAGTAATTATCCCTAATGTGTGTGAAACGAGATAGTAAAATACGGGCTTTGTTTGGTAAATCACCTTTGACAACCTCTAGCAGGATTGGAGTATGACAACCTGCCTTTTTACAACGGTGTAAACAGATGGGAAGCAAGAGGAGAAATCATGTGATAATTCAGCCGAAACAAAGTAACCATCCTCTCGCAAATGCTGATAGCCACTAGGCTTTAGTGAACGCGTGAGAAAAAGCGCGTCCAAGCTTTTTCCAATTGGCTGAAGACACAACGCAACCTTGGTGAGTGCCCATGCACCGGTAGCGAACCTGATGATACGACTATGGAGCGACCCGTCCTCCATTACCAGCATAAAACCGAATTCTCCTCTATGCTATTAAAATAAGTTCAGTAATATGCATTTTGCTTCAACACCTTTGGAAACAAATATGAAAATTCAGGGGATTCTACTTCCGTCAGACTAAAAGGGACCTCCTATTAAGTAGCAAGAGGATGACACTATGCATAAGGCTCATCAGTAGAAATGGTACAAAAGTGCAAAATGCTTTAAAAATTTACCATTGATGCAAACAGAAAAGATCAACCTTACATTACAGCAGTAACACTGATTTAACGAAATTCACCCAAGCTAATGCTTAAATACTGGGTATCAATACTCTGAAATTACAAACATCTGAGGAGAATAACAGTCATACTTTGCGGCGTAACTCAGTGTTACAACACGAAATTCATCAAAGCTACGCAGTGTTGGTAATCTGAAAGCCCGCACGATCTTCTGAGTGCTCTAAGCAGGAACACAAAGTGAGTTTGTAGTCTTTACTGACTAAAAATCAGTGTATGCAATGAACAGGCAAATCGCCACAATAAAACGGAAATAGAGCTGGTTTAAGAGCCTTTTTATCATTTCTAAATGCATCAGTTCAAAGTTCTAAAAGTGAGCACTAAAACTTAAAGGAACAAACAAAAGATCGTTTATTTACACTCATCAATTTAAGGTTAAGCATATTACCCAATCGCTTTGCTGTCGCTGGCTTTTGACTTCAGTTTTGCACCTGTTTTTGCTGTTGTCAGTCTGCTACTTGTTAGTTAGATATTCATTGACATAGTTCGTGCCACTTATTAATACATTAAACAAATACGAGTTTAAAATTGTGGCAAGCACTTCTCTTCGGTTATCTTTCCCTTCAGTAATATTTAAGTATTTGGAATCTCTGGTTAAATGAGCTACTTTTAATTTGAAGATTTGTAGTAATATTTCTTTAGCCTACTTCCATTTTAAACCACATTTGTAGGATAAAATGAACATTCTCCTGCGCAGCAATCCAATTGGATACATATACGAAGAACTGTTGTAGGAAAACTAGAATGCTTTCACATAGACTCACTTGAACCCTTTGGTGTCGTTAGTCTGTGATTCGTAGACCTTCATTCCTGACAAATTTCTCTTGCAACGTGTTCTCTGTGAATGTTTTTGGTGTTGTAGCATGCGTTCCTCTTATTATTTACTGAGGAAGATCGTATTTGCAATTACGGGACCCGAATTAATCAGTGTGCCGACAGGTTTCAGGACACCCGTTTGTTATTGGCTTAGTGAAACCATTTTTAGTCTGAACCCTATGCTGCAGACGTTTTTGAAATGATGCTTTCTCTGGCGATAAAGATGTCAAACATATGCATTGACCTTGCAAAATGGACTGTATGGCTCTGGCTACCGTTTGCAGTTTCTGATAGTAGGTGCTTATTTTACTAACCAAATATTGGATAGTTTTCCGCTGGAACACTTTTTTTTCGCATTTAAAGCTTGGATGTACGCTTGCTGGGACATACTTTGCACTTTATATTCTCAGAGGCAAGTGTGTTCATTGTGCGTCTCATGAAATGTGTTAGGGTTTGTTCGTCTCATGAATCCATGTTATAAGCGGTTCGTGATAACATATTTGAACGCGGAGGATAACCTGGACCAGAGTCTTGTTGTATTCCCACTTCTAATAATTCTTTCTAGGACGCATTAACACTTTATGGCTTCCGGTATCCGTGGCCAGCTCAATTTGACGTTCGCGATCTGGAGCCTCGTTTGCGTTTCGAACGGAAGGCGGTGGTCAATAGATATGAGGCATCCTATTCAGTTTTAACGCCACTTCTGTAAGTTGCCACACTCCGTATACAGTGTTTATGCATATTGTCTTATTATTTCGTCTTTCAGTTCGTTCCTTGCAAATACAATTGGAGTTAGAATGGTTTACCCCGGCTGCATGGGCATGTTCAATTCTTGGGCGCGTACGTTTTCTTCGTGTTAAGCAATCTAAAGTAGCCTCTTTGCTGGTTTTCGCAGATAAAACCCATGGTCTTGGAGCCATATTTCGATAGTTTTGCAAATTTTCATCATATGTTTGTCATTTGTATTCAGTGTTCAATATTATTTTGGAAATTGGGGCTCTTCAAAGGTTTTCCAAGTAATCGCAAGTGGACCAACAATAGGCTGTTACTACATATTTGCAAGGTATAGATTTAACAGGACGCAGAATCCTTTTTTTCCATTAGACATCTGTAAAAATTAATGGCTTGCCAATGATTGCTATCAAGGTGGTCTTGATTCTTATCATCTCCATCAAGTGCAAAAGCTTGACTTAATTCAGGGCAAATAACGTTAACTGCTCATTTTACTTTATTAACACTGGCGCATTCTTCAACATAAGGCTACGATGGTTATAAGTGTTGTTTTTTTTTAAAAAAATATGTGTATTAAATCCGGTGAAAGACGACGTACATTGTCATATTTTCAGTTGAACCTCGAATGAAGGCTTTGGAGGCTTTACGATCAAAAGTAAGTCATGAATAAAACGTTCCAAATATTGGATTAAAATGTTACCAGCCAGCTACCTCCATCCGAGCAAGCATGTTCGTTTGTTCTACGAACTTATCCTGCTTTTTTATCAGGCATTGGAATCCACACGAAACCATGGAAACTGTGAAGATGTTATTCAAAGATTTTGCCATTAGTTTATGCACATTGACGCAGAATTCCACAAAACATTTTAAGTTGTTTTCTAGGGAGCACAGCACTTGAAATCCGCAAGTAATCTACATTGGTTCCGCTTTCGGAAAGCTTTTATTTAGGCTTTTGAACCGCTGGAGAGTAATCTTCAGTACTGCCTATTATTCTATCCTGACCTACAGTTAAGCTATGGTTCACTAGAGTTGTTTTTGCAAAGCCATGTAACTAATTGGTGTTGTGCTTTGAAGGTAGTTTAGTTTTTGTAATAATCTCTTTTGCTTCTTTAATTGATTCACTTTTTGATTAAATAATCCTCCATCTTTTTTCACAGTTTTAGGTGAATCATACACCATTTGCATACTTTTTTGTCCTTCCTAAATGTCCCAATCTACTCTGCCCTTTTTTCGTAACAAAACTGATGCTATAATGCCCTATATTTATGGGTTAACTTATAAAGAAGCCATTGATAGGCATCATTCCTTTAATCTGAGACAGAAGCCACATGCCTTGCTGGAGTAATCTGAAGTTGAACAACTGTCTGGGGGGAGGTGTAGTACGACCACTGATGCTTAAGTAGCTATGGAAGTTTCGGTTCATCTATTCACTGAATTGGAGAGTCACATGCTGTTGGGTAGTCTTGTACATCCGTAATGCCTTTGAAGCATTAATTGAGAATGACCTCTGTGTAGATTATGATATACTGCACCGTGGAAATTCAGTATGATCTGCCCTCGTTTCACATATTCGCATGGTAAGCTGGTAGTTCAGTTAGCTGTTTCAACTTTGCTATTTGAACCATAAAGTTGAGTTCCTATTCTTTTTGAAAGGGCTGGAATTTTGAGGATGGTGTAGGCATGCTAGTTACATCTTTTGCTGCTTTGCTGTAAAGTTTGCCCCAAATACTGAAGTCTTAAAATATCTCGAGAAGAATGCTGAATCAAACTGGTTCTCATTTATTAAACTAATGATGTTTGATTGACATGCTAGATACATAACTTTGTTACCCACGGTTGTGTGCAATTTTTTTACCGTTTACTAATATAGTGCAATGCCCGTCGTGTGGGTCTTATTACCGCTGAAGGCCTGTTTGTGGAAGCCTTTTATGTGGATCGGCGAAGGAGCGAATCAGAAAACGGGAAGACTATGGTGAGCACCTAGATTTCTTGGCCTAAAATTGCCATTTTGAATATAAGGATAGTTTTCACCTGGCCTTCTGATCAGCATATTCCTGAACAATTCACAGTTAAATCTGTAATTGTGCATTTCTTTCTCAGGTTATCTGTTGTGAGGGCAATGCGGGATTCGCTGAGATTGGCATTTCTGGTGTACCATTGTCGAATGGTTTCTCCATCTTTGCGTGGAATCACCCTGGTTTCGGCAGCAGCATGGTCCGTGTGCACCGCCACTTCTCTTACTATTAGTCTCCTTCTCCTTTTACCTGATCTGAAAATCATTCCAATTCCTTGATTTTATTTAGGTATTCAGTTCCATGATATGCTTTTTATTCTTATTGCTTGAATGACTACGATACGGGAATAAAACCAGGACTCAGGTTACCAGTCACAGTTTCTTAGGTAGTTTACTAAGACGCGAGTTACACTACAGGATTGAGTGTTTTTTTTTTTTTGAATAGGGCATGCCATTCCCGGAACAAGAGATGAATGCGGTGGAGGCGGTTGTACTCTTCACTATCCATTATCTCCACTTCGAGCCTGCGGATATTCGTCTCTTTGGTTGGTCTATCGGTGGCTTCACCGCTACTTGGGCTGCGATGCATCTACCCAGTATTGGAGGGCTGGTGTGTATGCAATTTCAAAATCCCTGTTGAAGTTCTGCTTTAGAGGAAACTCCACTTTTTTAGGGCAAAGTACACCTTATCTTAAATAAGAAATGGAGACAATTTTAAGGTCATTTGGCACAGCTATCTGATTTTTTTCTCCGTTTTAACCCTTCACTGGTTCAGTTAAATTATTATGTAGCTGGTGGTACAAGACGGCTCTTTAGCTGAAGGTCTTAATCGAGAAAAGAAAATTTGGCGGTGTGCTCTCTCGCTTTTCAGATTCTGGATGCGACATTTGACACACTTGAAGAATTGAGCAGGAACGCACTGCCATTCATAGGAGGTAAGTACCGTGTTTGTAAACGTTCCCAAACATTTCCTTCTGCATCTTAGTTTTCGCGGAGAGCTGCTACGTTTTACTCTGCTTGCCTTAGCTATTCATTTCAGGGGAGGCTTGCATTGCACAGCAAAATACCATCTGCTATTGTTTTTTTATGCATGTGGTAATTTTGAGTAACAAGGAAATAATTTGCTTATTTTCGGTGTAGAGTCCATCCCCGTCGCTTTGGTTCGAAAGTTCTTCAACTTGAAAAATATCGCGCAGATTATTGAGTAAGCCTCTATAACTGCATCATCTTTCAACCCGAGACTATACCCTAAAACAGTACATAAATAGATTAAATTTGTAGCACACATGCACACCCATCTATCACTACATTCAGAGCTCTGTTTTCTCTTAGGTATCCAGGTCCGGTTAGGATTATACGACGTAGCAATGACGAAGTCATATCCACAAAGTAAGTTTGTGATTTTGCACGTAAACTTTGCCAGATGCTTCAAGAGTGAGAGTCCATCTGCAGATAAACATCTAGGCGGAGTGGAATAAGGTCGATTCCTCGCGTCGAATCGTTTGATCCGTCGTTATAGCATTTCGTGTTTCAAACTGAACTACCTAGTGTAAGAGTAAAGGAGTCGTTCGCCCCCATGTAAAATCAGGTAATGTTCTAATGGTTCTGATAGCACGGCTTTTTTTTTTCTATTTTAGTGCGAATGAGCAGCGACTATCGAATCGTGGGAACTACTTAGTTTTCGGTTTGCTGAAATACAGGCAATTTGACTTATCAAACTACTTATACTAGCTAGTGCCTTTTGCTCGGTGGGAGCGAAAGGTATTTTTAATTAGGTCTTTGTTTGAAGTTGATGAATGAAGGGCTCCACTGCTAAAGGAATTTACGGTCTAAACGATGTCTTTCACAGGTTTCCCCACTTGTTCAATGACGACACAGAGGTTCTGCTTTGGAAATACCTTGCGATGGACAAGGCTGAACAGGGTATGTCATTGGGATCGAAATTCCTACCTCTGAGTTTTATTTTCCACCTTGGAGACGTAAAGAACACCACTTGATGATTGGTGATACCCGTACCATTCGATGGCCTAAGTATTAACACGTCTTGATGACTGGCAAGATGCTTATTTACGTGCGATGCGTTGACGTGTTTATTCCTGCAAATGCTTGCTTATTGGTGTACCAGTCTTTTCTGCGCAAGGCATGCGTGCACAAACACGGGTGCATGGGCAGACAAACATCCATTCCTATTCACATACCCTTGGGCGCAGGTTTTGATCGTAACCAGTTAAAATGTTGAGTATTCATCGGTCTGCTTGTCAGTCACGCAATTTAACACTATAACCACACCAACTGCCGCGCAGTGTGCAGCATAGAATAGGGCTGTATGTGAAAGCATATTGACTAAGACAGCCAAGTATGTGACACTACCGAAACTGCTTACTGACTCGTGTTTTTTGCCATCGAATAAATTATTGTCTCAAATTAGTAAAACTATTAAAGGGATTTTGTCTTGGACTCTGATATCGCCTAGGATTGCTTGTGCTCTGCCAAATCTCGGCACACATCCATCACCTCCAATAGCAGCCCCAGGTTCTAGAGTTTCACTAATCACTAACATTTATTTGTGATTTTTAATGTAATTTTGTCTAGAGTCTTATTTAATGAAACACGGCATAGTGGACGAGGTGATGGTACCAATTTTGCAGCATGAGTTCCGAAAGGAGATGCTAGAGTTTGCTTGCGCTGACGATGATGTCTCTGGTTTGGTAATGGATGTGCATCGTTCTCTCCTCTTTCCCTCCCATCTGGGTGAGAGCGGCATCAGTGACGCTATGAAACGCTCTGTCCTCATTTATTTGGTAAGTTTGCGCATCGCATCCATAGCTACTGCCTGGTGCTTGAGCTCCAGTAGCGTACTCGTATAGATCCTTAGGGCTAGACGGACGGCTTTCTTACCAAGAACAAGCTTCATTCAGGCATAGAAGGCCACTGCATCGAGGGTTCTACTTTAATGATCATATTTAAGTCCTAATTACCTTGTTTTTCGTGATTAGTGTCCGAAAGTTCCCGTTAACGAGAGGATGTTTCCCATGTACAGTCACAAGCAGGAACAGTGTTCTGGAGATTCGACTCGTCCCCTTGTAGACCAGTAAGTATTTTGTGGAGGCGAAGGGTAGTCACTGCACTACACTGGACCAGGCAAGCTTTCAGGAGCCCTGGTCTGAGTCCCTCGTCCTCTACCGCTCACAGACTGTCAACGTTGATTTGGAGGCGGAATGCAGCAGCACTAATGATGGTTTCGATGACGACGCGGATGAAAAAGACGTCAATGACTGGGAAAAAGTTGCCTGATTTGAAATCGAGAACCCCGCCTTTGCTATATGAAAGCATCCTTGTAAAACGCAATATACTGTATGTCTCTTGAGAAGTGAACGTATCTTAATCCAATCTCCTACTGCTGCGCGATGGTTTTTCTTCCTCAGGTTCTAAATTACAGCCATGAAAGTCGTCAATGCACTCTTAGCATTAGACTTCAATTCCATTTAACAACGTAGGCCAGATGATCCTACCACTGCAATGGAAGTTCGCTGTTGCAAACGCTGTAATCATTGCTGAGATTTTCTGGGTCAATGCAGACAAAAATGCTGGCAGACAAAGCCGCACTCGTTAGTAGAGAAGTAGGTTCATAATCTTGCATTAGGATTAGAGGCCGCCTTTCAAGAACTAATGATTCATTACAAGCTTCAACCCAAATAATAAGGCATGGAAATGGATTAATTTGAAGGATTAGTGAAGATCGATAGAGCAAAAAAATTGGGGGGCATAAGCTCTAGTCGACGTGCTGTTGGAGAGGGCATCAGAAAAGCTATTTGGTGGGGGTAAGCAGCTGGGCTGCAGCCCCATCAAGGTGCCAAGACAGTTTCGAGGTAAGGGGCTGAACCATGCTTGCTGGGTACATCGGCGACGGACGTTCATCCTCTAGGATCCTCTACAAGGAGATCTGCCATACTAAAGGTGCTGCCTCAGTACCAAAAGAGAAAGTCCCTGTAAATGGCAGGTCAATGCCTCTTATAGTGCCGATAGCAAGAAGATTAAGCCTGGAGAAAAGGACTTCTCAGATTTAAACGCTCAGATCAAGTATGCACTAATTCGGAATCTTGGTCGATGACTGCACAATCGATCTTAATGAATGCGCCGTTACAGAGAAACTCACCTTAATAACTTCGGCTTTATTGACTCCGTTGATAATAAACATCACCTTGCTGGCCTTGTTAATCACTGGGAGGGTTAGAGTCACCCGATTCGGTGGGGGCTTCGGGCTATCAGTGATAGGAGCGACAATCAGATTTTCAATCTTGAAAAAGAAGGGTTGGTGAATTTACTTTTTTAATTTCGAACCTCAGATAGAAACATCGAACAAGGTCAGAGGCCGAGCCTGGATCACACAGCATAAACCAAGCTTCAAACAAGTTTTCAAGAAGTTAACAAAAAACCCGAACCTCCAGTAGTTTGTGATGCGGGAACAGCGAACAAGTGTGACCATCTGGACCCATGCCCAGAAGGAGGAGATCAAAAGATGGGTAGCCGTTTTCTGTGCCAAAGTATTCAAGAATGTCTTTTTGGTAAAGCTTCGCCACTTCGTCTGTTGTTTCGGCAGTAGGATCTATCTTGTGAACAACAGGTGTGGTTGGAAGTTTTGAAAAAAGGTTCTTTTGGTAGACACCAAACGTTGACTCTGGGTCATCAAATGGAACGACTCTTTCGTCACAGAAGAAGAAGTGCACACGTGTCCAATCAACATCTTCCAATGCGACCAAACCGGGAGAAATCTGGATGGGCATGGAACCACCTTTCATAAAAAGTATATGCTATAATTAGAAAGGCATATCCTCTAAACGGCCGCGCAATTCGATGGAATTGTGCAGGACAATCGTAAACAGAATGAAGGAATCGAGTAGAGCCAAGCATACCGGAGAGTCCAACAGCTACGTTCTTCTGTTTACTTGTAGTCATACGCAATACAGAGTGAATTTCTCCAACAATAGATTTCTTAAAAGCCTCATCCGAAACACTAACACACACACGATCCATGCCTAGAACTGTTCAAATGGTAATAATCATGAGTACAAGCACACCAGATACCCAATCGTATAAAACGCCATACAGGGTGAACAAACAAGCCCTAAGAAGCCAAGTTCCAATGTACACAATTTCCAAATGCCTCCGTTTAGTGACTAATTTTATATGCGCGCGGTTATTATGCTTGTAAGAATAGCCATATAAATCGCTCATATACTTAAAATCTTAAAATGGTATTTTAATGAAGTTGACATAAAGTGTTTTTAAATGATCAGTAATAAAAGCAAAAGCAAAATGGATCATGCATTAGATAACTCTTGTGTGTAAAGAGGGGTTAAAAACAATGAGATTAGGTATGGCAGCAAAAAGCAAATTTAACAACGACTTCTTCCTTGGTATTTCCTACTTTTAACATGCTTCTTTAATGCCAATGAAGTGCATTAATTAAGACTATAAATAAAAAAGATTATATCCGATATCCACAATTGGCTTTTTCACGTTATAGGTTTTGTACTTTTGAGCTATTCGCATGCAAAGCCATAAAATCATCAGTAAAAATGTTCGTGTAGGATTTTGTCTTGCTACATTTGCATTTAGCTGTCGCAGGTGTTATATCACTCAACCCTTCACAATATGGGACTGCTAAACCCTACTTGTAGCGTCCCGAGGCTCCAAATGGGGTATTAGACGGCATAAATGAGGTTGAATACATGTATTCCAAAAACAATAGGAGAAATGGGAGCCTGAGCGCGGCCCGAAGGCCAGCCCAGGCATACTGGACCTAGACAAGTTCTAGAGTGACCGCCAGACGTCAGATAGTCACATAAACAAAGCATTACACTTCCCCTCTCTTCTTTTGAGCGACGTCCTCGGCGTTCCCCTTTGGTACACCTCCTGCTCCAGCCATCACAACATATTCGGTGCTACAAGAAAGCATCCACGAGCCAACCGCGCCAGTCGACAGACAACGCGAGAGCGAGGAACCATACCTAAAATTTTCTCGGCAGCTTCAACTGGATCTGGATTTTCGTTCGGTCTGACAACCAGATTCGGGGACCCCTACATCTGTCGACCATCAATTGCTTACAGAAATACACGGTGGAACTCTGGTCTACAACAGATATGTTACAGGGATAAGGGGACGGGCCACTGTCCCGTATGCGAGGAGATCCGTTGTGTCATTTCCGACACCTAAACACGGATTCTGTATGGAAAATTCCCACACGAAACTTTTCCAGATATTTCACGGCGGTGTCGCTTCAGTTGTTAATAGCTTGTTTGTGGAACACGGGAAATAAGGTGAAACCAAATGCAGACGTCAGTCTCAACCCTTTCGTTGTGAAGGTTCCAGGGATCCTCCGTCATCAAGGTAAATGCGCCCCTCCAACTCACGTCCCGTTTCCGCCTGTATCTTTATCTACTACACTTCGATAGATAGAGTCAGACTTCATTCTACGCATGTATAGCTCGTGATTGCCAAAATGCGCTTCTTAAACTTGGATTTCTCCCCTAAGAAGCAGAATTCGTTTGCA